GTGAGAGTTGGCTGGCTGACTTTGGGCCAATCACCAGGAGACTGGGAGTTCTAGTTCTGCCTTAAGTGTGAGAACTGCCTGGGTGACTTTGGGCCAATCACCAAAAGTCAGTGAATTCTAGTCCCGCCTTAAGCATGGAAGCCAGCTGGGTGACTTTGGGCCAATCACCAGGAGACTGGGAGTTCTAGTCCCGCCTTAGCCATCAAAGCCAGCTGGGTGACTTTGGGTCAGTCCCCCCCCCTCTCTCAGCCCAACCTACTTCACAGGGTTGTCGTTGCGGGGAAAATAGGAGAAGAAATATGGCTATGGAAACAGGAGTGAACATATGGATACGTTCCCTGCCTTGAATTGCTCGGAAAAGTAATACAGGCTGCATACAAATACATTCATTAAATTAAAGCAGGATTCACACAATCCCTTTTTAACCTGGGTCAGGTAGAATAATAACAACTGAACAGGTAACCGTATCAAGAAAGGTCGTAAAATGGGGCCAAACTTGCTTAACAAAAGTCTCACTTAGCAACAGTGAGCTCAGTTGTGGTCGTTAAGCCGAGGGACACCCCCCCCCCCAGGGCAACCACATTTGTGGAATTGTGCAATTCTCACTGCATCCACAGGGGGGTGCCAAAAACAGTCACCTTGACAACTTGGGCTGTGCAGTCCAGCCCCCCCCTCCCTTTGTTATGTGCACTCTGTAGCTGTGATTGTGGCTTTTTCGACACTTCCCCCCCCCCACTCCCAAATCCTCAGTTTTCCAGTATTGACACAATTGGCAAGTCTTCCATCCACGCCTGCCCTGTGTTGAATGAGGCCGTCGCACAGACAATGCAATTTATGTCTGCTGTATGCACTTCCCGGGTGGCATTGAAGTCACTTGTTCCCTTGGCATCAGGCAAATGATAGCAATTGGAGCATCCGGAGTCTGCGGGACACAACAGACTCAACCCTGGCCCAGCACTCTTCCATATCTTCATAAATGAAATAATAATAATAATAATAATACAAAGACGACAATAAGAGTAATAATAATAGTAATAATAATAGAAATAGAAAGACTGTGGCAAAGGCAAGCAAGGGTAGTACCAATAGTCATAGGCTCCTTGGGTGCAATCCCAAAACAACTGGAGCACCACATGAACACCATCATCAGCATTGACAAATTCACTATTAGTCAATGGCAAAAGGCGGCCTTACTAGGAACTGCTTCCATCCTGCGACGAAATCTGTAATACCATCAAACATCCACATCTGCCTATCCCAGGTCCTGGGTAAGGACTCGATGGGTAGACAAAATGCCAAATCCAATCTGAACATCTGGCTGACTATGCGATTAATAATAATAATAATAATAATAATAATAATAATAAGTTGAAAGGGACTTTGGAGGTCATCTAGTCCAACCCCCTGCTCAGGTAGGAAACCCTACACCATTTTGAACAAAAGATTGTCCAGCCTATTCTTAAAAACTTCCAGTGTTGGAGCATTCATCGCTTCTAGAGGCAGGTTGTTCCACTGGTTAATTGTTCTAACTGTCAGGAAGTTTCTCCTTAGTTCTAGGTTGCTTCTCTCCTTGATGAGTTTCCATCCTTTGCTTCTTGTCCTTCCTTCAGGCGCTTTGGAGAATAGCTTGACTCCCTCTTCTTTAGGGCAGCCCCTGAGATATTGGAACACTGCTATCATGTCCTCCCTCATCCTTCTCTTCATTAAACTAGACATCCCCAATTCCAGCAATCGTTCCTTATATGCTTTAGCCTCCAGTCCCCTAATCATCTTTGTTGCTCTTCTCTACACTCTTTCCAGAGCAGTGGTTCTCAACCTTCCCAATGCCGCAACCCTTTAATACAGTTCCTCATGTTGTGATGACCCCGAACCCCCCATCCAGCTGGCCGGGGGGGGGGGTATCAAAAACTTGACCAAAAAAAAAAAAGGAAATAATGGGAAAGTATAGACTCTCAACATCCTTTTGACATTGTGGTGACCAAAACCGGATTCAGTATTCCAAGTGTGGCCTTACCAAGGCATTGTAAAGTGGTATTAACACTTCACATGATCTTGATTCTATTCTTCTGTTAATGCAGCCTAGCACTGTGTTGGCTTAGAACAGGGACCCTTAGACTTCACCAAGGCCTTCAACAAAGTAGACCACAATCTACTTCTTGGTAAGGCCACACTTGGAATCCTGTATCCAATTTTGGTCACCAGGATGTAAAAAAGATGCTGAGACTCTAGAAAGAGTGCAGAGAAGAGCAACAAAGATGATTAGGGGACTGGAGGCTAAAACATATAAGGAACAGTTGCTGGAATTGGGGATGTCTAGTTTAATGAAGAGAAGGACGAGGGGGGACATGAGAGCAGTCTTCCAGTATCTCAGGGGCTGCCCCAAAGAAGAGGGAGTCAAGCTATTCTCCAAAGCACCTGAAGGCAGGACAAGAAGCAACGGATGGAAACTAATCAAGGAGAGAAGCAACCTGGAATTAAAGGAGAAACTTCCTAACAGTGAGGGGAGGGGAAGGGAAAGGAGAGGGGAGGGGAGAAGGGAAGGAGAGGCAGAAGAGAGGGTTATAAAACGGAGAGGGGAAGGGAGGGTGGAAGGAAGGAAGGAAGGAGTGTAAATAGATGAAGGAGAGGAATAAAATTAGGAGGAGGGGGAGGGGGAGGGAAGAAGGAAGGAGGGAAGAAAAGTGAATGGATGAAGAAGGAGAGGAAGGGAAAGGAAGAAGGAAGGGAGCACTCTGCCCATGCTCAGAGGCTCTGGCTGCTTCCCCAGGGGCCCAGCGTGCTTCGGAGGACCGGAGCCCGGGGTTCCGGCAGGGCGGGGGGGGGGAAGCGGAGGAAGCGGCGGCCGGGGAAGACAAAAGGGTCAGGCGGCCTGGGACTCGCCTTCGCCCGGCTGGAGAGCGCCGGCGCCCGGCTGGGTTGCTGCGGCTGCCGCTGCTTAGAAACCCCGAGAGGGAAACGCGGAGCCGAGCTGGGGGAGGGAAAAGAGGGAAGGGTTTGGGTCAGGCTCTTTTCTTTCTTTCTTTCTTTCTTTCTTTCTTTCTTTCTTTCTTTCTTTCTTTCTTTCTTTCTTTCTTTCTTTCTTTCTTTCTTTCTTTCTTTCTTTTCTTTCTCTCTTTCCTCTTTTTCTATCTTTCCTTCCTTGCTCGTCCTTTTCTTTCCTTCCTCTCTTTTCTTTTTCTCTTCTCTTCTCCTTCCTTCCTCTTTTTTCCTTTCTCTTTCTCTCTTCTCTTCCTCCTTCCCTTTCTCTCTTCCCCTTCCCTTCCCTCTCTCTCCCTTCCTTCCTTCCTCTTTCAATTCTTTTCTCCTTTCCTTAGCCCATCACTTAATCCGCTCTTCCTTCTCCCCTTCCTTTTTCCTTTCCTTTCCGCTTTCTCTTCCCGTCCTTTTTCCTTCCTTCCTTCCTTCCTTCCTTCCTTCCTTCCTTCCTTCCTTCCTTCCTTCCTTCCTTCCTTTTCCCTCTCCCTCCCTTACGAAACGAGAAAATGGCTTTATTATTACGGTTGACGATTTCTTCCCAAAAACAAAAAGCAGAAAAAAAGGGCCGGAAGCAACGGGTCCGTCTCTCCCTCGGCGACCCCCGCTGGACGGCAACCATGGGACCTAGTCCTCCGCGCCCCGAATAACTGGACGCCACCCCCTTTGCCCCAACATTAGCTAGGCACTGTCAGGGGTGGGGGGGGCAGCCTGTCTGCTGGATAGTGCCTGGGGGGCAAAACGTGGGCAGGGGGCAGCCTGGTCTGCTGAATGGTGGGTGGGGGGCGAAACGTGGGTAGGGGGCAGCCTGGTCTGCTGGATAGTGGGTGGGGGGGCGAAACGTGGGTGGGGGGGCAGTCTGGCCTACTGGATAGTGGGTGGGGGGGTGAAACGTGGGTGGGGGACAGGCTGGTCTGCTGAATAGTGAGTGAGAAGTGGGGGGGGGCAACCTGGTTTGCTGGATAGTGGGGGGGGCGAAACGTGGGTGGGGGACAGGCTGGTCTGCTGGATAGTGAGAGAGAAGCGGGGAGGGGGGGGCAACCTGGTCTGCTGGATAGTGGGTGGGGGGGGCGAAACGGGTGGGGGACAGCTGGTCTGCTGGATAGTGAGTGAGAAGCGGGGAGGGGGGGGCAACCTGGTCTGCTGGATAGTGGGTGGGGGGGGCGAAATGGGGGACAGCTGGGTCTGCTGGATAGTGAGTGAGAAGCGGGGAGGGGGGGGAATAGTGGGTGGGGGGGGCGTGGGTGGGGGACAGGCTGGTCTGCTGGATAGTGAGTGAGAAGCGGGGAGGGGGGGCAACCTGGTCTGCTGGATAGTGGGTGGGGGAGGGCGAAACGTGGGTGGGGGACAGGCTGGTCTGCTGGATAGTGAGAGAGAAGCGGGGAGGGGGGGCAACCTGGTCTGCTGGATAGTGGGTGGGGGGGGCGAAACGTGGGTGGGGACAGGCTGGTCTGCTGGATAGTGAGTGAGAAGCGGGGAGGGGGGGGAACCTGGTCTGCTGGATAGTGGGTGGGGGGGCGAAACATGGGTGGGGGACAGGCTGGTCTGCTGAATAGTGAGTGAGAAGCGGGGAGGGGGGGGCAACCTGGTCTGCTGGATAGTGGGTGGGGGAGGGCGAAACGTGGGTGGGGGACAGGCTGGTCTGCTGAATAGTGAGTGAGAAGCGGGGAGGGGGGGGCAACCTGGTCTGCTGGATAGTGGGTGGGGGGGGCGAAACGTGGGTGGGGGACAGGCTGGTCTGCTGGATAGTGAGTGAGAAGCGGGGAGGGGGGCAACCTGGTCTGCTGGATAGTGGGTGGGGGGCGAAACCTGGGGGGAGGACAATGGGGGGGGCTAAGACAGACCAGAAACCGTTCCAAGGGGCAACTTTCTCTTCTTCTTTCTCTCCCCCCCCCTCGTTAAAGCCCTCCCACTTCGGAAGCCCCACCCCCCATTGGTCGGTTCATAGGCAGCCTTCCCCAGCGGTTGGCCGCCTCGACCTGCCACTCACGTCTTTCCTCCCCCACCCACCCCGCCCTCCAGCTCAACTTCGCCTTGAGTTTGAATCGGGCTGTTGCGGGTGTCTTGCCCCGTGGGCGTGTGTGTGTGTGTGTGTGTGTCTGTCTGTCTGTCTGTCTGTCTGTTTGTGTGTGCGCGCACACACATACACACACACAAGAGCGTTGCGAGAGCATCAGGTTTCAACTTTGGACCGAAGCAGCAGCGGTGTGGGGTTTCCGTCCGCGGGACCGGCCAGCCGCGCGGGAACCACGGAAAGAACAGAAGGCAAGAAAGAAAGAAAAGAAAGAAGGAAGGGAGGGAGGAGAAGGAAGAGAAAAGCAAAGGATCCATTGGATCCACCCCAGGGTTAGACCCATCTTGGGCAAAAGCAAGCAAAGACTGACCAAGAGGATCCTAGATTCTTTGCACGGGTTTCGCCAAGGGTTCGCAAGATCCGGAGCGACGAGGAAGGAGGAACCGCGAAAGACATCAGCTCGTCTGAATGCGAAGAAACAGGTAAGGAAGGGTGGAAGGGAAGGAAAGGAAAGCAGGCTGGATCGCTTCTGGGGGGGGTGAACCAAAGCCAAACCCCAAACTTGACTTCATTTTAACGGGGTGCTGATCCCCCCTTTTGTGGCTTCTGCTTGCTGGCCTGATCCAAAGAGAGATTTCCAGGAAAATAATAATAATAATAATAACAACAATAATAATAATAATAATAAAGTTGGAAGGGACCTTGGAGGTCATCTAGTCCAGAGGTTCTTAACCTTTTTGAACGAATTGCCCCCTTGAGCCAATGAGGAAGTTGTCATCGTCCCCCTCCCCCAACATAACCTCTCAATCACAACATAGGAAATAATTCTTCAATTTATGCAAACACTTGTTTTATTTTCTTTAAAATTGTCATCAGGACATATTGATGCAAATAATTTATTTCCAATCTTTTTCCATATCTCAACTGTGTGAAAAATTTTCGTGCCACCCGTCACTTTATTCCCAAACTTTGTGATACGTATATTTCATTATTATCTGATTTATTCAAGACACTTAAATGTAATGACCACTTTGAAAACAAAATTCAATTGCAAGAAAGTGAAATGCCTGAAAAGGAGAACAGTAATCTTTAATGACTGAATTACAAGTGAAATTTAAGACGCAAAAAGAAATATAAAAAGGGCATAAGAACAAACGGCAACGCGCGTGAAGATAAGCGATGCGTCTTGACATATGTACGGCGTTCTGTACTGAAGCTAGCTGGAGGAACATTTGAAAACACAATTCAATCCACTAATAGCAAGCAATCTGATGTTTTTGTACGACAGATGTACAGCCATTCACTGTATGAAAAAGTCTCAAAAGTGTCCCCAAAACTTCTCGCTCCATCGCCCCCACATCGCCCCCTTTTCATTCCTTCGCCCCCACGTCGCCCCTTTTTGCTCCATCGCCCCCCTGAAAAACGAAATCGCCCCCTGGGGGGCAATATCACCCAGGTGAAGAATCACTGATCTAGTCCAACCCCCTGCTCAGGTAGGAAACCCTATACCATTTCGGACAAATCATAGCAACACTGCCTAGTCTCCGACTTATGGCCACAACTGAGCCCAAAATTTACATTGTTAAGTGAGACATTGGGGAAGTGAGTTTTAGCCCCACTTTATGACCTTTCTTGCCCTTGCATCTGTTAAGTGAGTCAAACGGTTGTTAAGTGAATCGGGCTTGTCAGAAGGTCGCAAAAGGGGATCGCATGACGGCGGGGCAGCGCAAACCGTCATAAATGTGGGTCGCTTTCTCAAGCATCCGAATGTAAGTCATACATGACCACGGTCGTTATATGCAGCGGTCGTTAAGGGTGAAAATCGGTCACAGGTCACTTTTTTCAGCCCCGTTGTAACTTTGAACGGTCACTACATGAACTGTTGTAAGTCGAGGACTTACAGATCTTTTCTTTCAGCCTTTTTCGTCGCCAAAAACTCAAACGACCTTGTAAGAAATAATAAGATTGAGGGAGAATCTGGGAGCATAAAAACTGTAATTGATCATCATCAATTACCTCTGGAAAAAAAAAAACCCCAGCCAGCCTTTTGCACTCTGTATTAAAGGAAGAGTATCTGTTAAAAAGAATAACTCTGAACATGTGCAGAAATAGAGGATCACTTCCTGATTTTTGAAGGTTTTTAAAAAGAGACTGGACAGCCACTGGTCTGAAATGGTATAGGCCGGGTCTCCTGCTTGAACAGGGGGTTAGACTAGATGACCTCCAAGGTCCCTTTCAACATCATCATCATCATCATCATCATCATTATTATTATTACCATTTGTCTCGAATGGTATAGGGCAGGGGTGGGCAACCTTGGCCCCTTCATGACTCATGGACTTCAACTCCCAGAATTCCTGAGCCAGCCATGCTGAGGGGAAAGGGAGAGGTTTCCAAGCTGAGCCATGCTGGCTCAGGAATTCTGGGATTTGAAGTCCATGAGTCATAAAAGAGCCACGGTTGCCTATCCCTGATCTGGGACTTCAACTCCCAGAATCCCCTAGGCCAGGGGTAGGCAACCTTGGCTCTTTTATGACTGGTGGACTTCAACTCCCAGAATTCCTGAGCCAGCCACGCTGAGGGGAAAGGGAGAGGTTTCCAAGCTGAGCCGTGCTGGCTCAGGAATTCTGGGAGTTGAAGTCCGCAAGTCATGAAGGGGGCCATAGTTTCCCCCATGCTGGCTCAGGAATTCTGGGAGTTGAAGTCCACGAGTCATAAAAGAGCCAAGGTTGCCTACCCCTGGTATAGGGTCTCCTGCCTGAGCAAGGGGTTGGACTAGATGACCTCCAAGGTCCCTCCCAGCTCATGCTATTTAATGTTCCTCACTAAGAGGGATATATTTTTTTTTTTTTTTGCACAAGACACCAATCTTTATTGATTGCACACTGCAGGGTGTCCTTGACTTATAAACAGTTCATTTAGTGACCGTTTGAAGTTACAACAGCACCGAAAAAAAATGACTTACGACTGTCCTTGTGCTTATGACCGTCGCAGAATCCCCAAGTGATCAAAATCCGGGCACTTGACAACCGACATTTAAAGGTATGGGTAGTTCTTTGACTTAGGACCTAAATTGAGTCCAAAGTTTCTGTTGTTAAAGTGAGACGTTTGTTTGGTGAATTTATGCCTCGTTTAACAACCTTCCTTTCCCTGGCTGTTAAGCGAATCGTGGCAGTTGTTCGATTAATGGCGCCGTTGTTAAGTGAACCCGGCTTGCCCCCTTGACTTGGCTTGTCGGAAGGCCGCAAAAGGTGATCACGTGACCCCCAGGATATCACGACGGTCATAAATATGAGTCAGTTGCCAAATGTCAAGAATTTTGATCACCTGACCGCTCCAACGGTTGAAAGTGTGAAAATGGGTCCTGAGTAAATTTTTTTCAGCGTCGTCGTAACCTCAAACTGTCACTAAACTAAATCAAGGAGAGAAGCAACGTAGAACTAAGGAGAAACATCCTGACAGTGAGAACAATTAACCAGTGGAACTACCTGCCTCCAGAAGCAGTGAATGCTCCAACACTGGAAGTTTTTAAGAAGAGACTGGACAGCCATTTGTCCGAAATGGTATAGGGTTTCCTGCCTGAGCAGGGGGTTGGATTAGATGACCTCCAAGATCCCTTCCAACTACTTCTTCTTCTTCTTCTTCTTCTTCTTCTTCTTCTTCTTCTTCTTCTTCTTCTTCTTCTTCTTCTTCTTCTTCTTCTCCTTCTCCTTCTCCTTCTCCTTCTCCTTCTCCTTCTCCTTCTTCTTCATATTATTATTATTATTGTTATTGTTATTGTTATTACTACTACTATTACTACTACTTTTAAGTCATGGACTGTGCATCGTTTGATGAGTCCTGATTGATTTCTGGGGGGGGGGCTCTGCTCTCCTTTCCCCAGGCTCCCTCTTTCCCCCAATCTCCAAATACACTGACCCCCAGACCCTTCATCCCCAGCAAGAGATGGGAACTGTAGTTTCATCTTTCCCATGGGAAACCAGGCGGTTCCAAAATCTGCTTTGCGAGGAATGTCAGGAAGAGACGCTGATTTTTTATTTTTCTCTCTCTCTCTCTCTGACCGGAAAAAAGGAGAGGAAAGCAAGTCAGCAAAACAATCAAAACCACAGCAGGAACAAAACTTGTTAAAACACGCACTGGGTTGCCTGCAACTCTTGGAACGGAGAGGGTCACGGATCAAAAGTAGACGCCCGTTGGATATGCATTCTCGCACGGCTGATCCGACGTCCCACAAGCAGAGAAACATCAAACTTTTACCAAATATTTACACGGCAACCCACCCGATTGTGCGTTCTTTCGGATTCTCGCTCGGCCTGGAAAGCCGATCGGCTGATCCGAACATACCCACAACCTAGAAACATCACACTTTGCCAAATATTTACATGGCTGTGCGTTCTTTCGCTTTCCGAATCCTTGAATCAGGCAGCGCCGAAGCCATTAGGGTTGTCCTCGACTTAATGACCGCAATTGCATTCGTCGTTAAACGAGACGTCCTGTTGCCATGGCTTGGGAAGTTTCCTTGCGGGTTTTTTTGCCCCACCGATTTGGTTTGTTGGGAGCCAGCTAGGACCCCAGCATAGCAAAGGGAAACCAGCTGCCAAGCAATCCCTGTTTTGTTTTGGATTTTTTAAATATGTTTTATTGATTTTTAACATCATCGCCTTAATATTTGATAAATCGCGTGTTGTTGTCTGGGTTGGTATTTAAAAAACGATCCATAACAATTAATTGCTATAATACTATAGTCCGTATAATAGCTTTGCTTCATTTTCTCTCCTTCCAATAATATTCTCTTTTGCCAACCTTCAATTAACACGGTTCTTATTGTTTGAATAAATGACAATGAAATGTAGACATTTTTCTCATGTTTCTGCAAATAACCACATCAATATAAAGTTTCTTTTTTAATTGATCATCTTACTGCCTCATCCTAGATCCTGTTTACAGAATTCCTATTTAAATGTTTTCCCCACAATATTCAAAAGCATTCTTACTTGGTTAAGATTTTCTCGAAATTAGTTACGCTTAAGGATTTAAGTCTTTGTTTTTCATACAAGCCATGCCAACACTTTCAACATAAAGCTTCTTTTCTTTTTTTATTATTTAAAAGTTTTATAAATTTATTACAATATAAACCCCACCCCACCCCTTCCCCCCCTACTTCCCAGAGCTGATTACAGGATAAAAAATAAAATAAACAAACATAATCAACACAAAGCTTCTTTTCTAATTGATCATCTTGACTGCCTCATCCTAGATCATGTTTACAGAATTCCTATTTAAATTTGTTTTCCCCACAATATTCAAAAGCATTCTTTACTGATTAAGATTTTCTCCAAATTAGTAAACACTTAAGGATTTAAGTCTTTGTTTTTCATACAAGCCATGCCAACACTTTTACATTTCTCATTTTTTTAAAGAAGAGACTGGACTTTTTAAGAAGAGACTGGATAGCCATTTGTCTGAAATGGCATAGGGTTTC